AGAGAGAGAGAGAATATCAATGTGAGAGAGACACATCAATCGGTTGCCTCCTATATGCGCCCTGACCAGGGCCCAGGATCAAGCCTGCAACCGAGGTACATGCCCTTCACTGGAAATGAATCTGGGACCTTCAGTCTGCAGGCCGATGCTCTACCCACAGAGCCAAACTGGCCAGGGCTGGTGGGTTAATTTTTAAGCTGGTAATTTTGTGTGGCCCTTGAATAATATTATAAATACCCACATGGCAGAAAACGGGTTCATACCCCTGCCTTAGGCAGTGGCTGTAGCACAGCAGTTGCACTGGGGCCCCTCTCCTGAGTCTTGCGGGGCGGGGGGGGCGGGGGGGGGGCGCTCACAGGGGTTCTGGAGCTGGGGCAGGGCCGAGGGCAGGGCTGACGCTGTGGAGGCGGCACTGTGGGCCCAATAGGCCAGCTCACCTGCCACCTGGACGTGGAAGGGAACCGGGAGGTTTCCAGGCGCCCTGTGGGCATGACACAGAACCGTCAGGTGACAGCCTGTGACAACACGGAGGTCTTCCCAGTCGTTCTAGTCCCGCAGACTTAGGGAGGAAACCCAAACCGACCCGAACCCACTGCGCGGGGATCGGGGACTGAAGTGTTGGGGCCTGCGATTCCCCAGGGACCCGTGCTTAGCCCTGACCTCGCTGAGGGACACAGCGGCTGGGCGGGAACCACAGTTAGCTGCGGTCGCCCGGCCTGGGTGTTTTCCCCGACAGACCATGGGATAGTGAGCCATCGATAGCCAGTGTCCTGTGCCTGGTGGTGAGATGGCCCAGTTGTTCAAGGGCCAGAGCAGAACGGGGTGGAGGCTGCTGACCCGGGGCGGGAAGGAGGGCTGGTGGCTCTCTCCCTCCTCCTGGCGCTGGCGGGAACCTGAGCCACCTGCCCTGGGGGTGACAAGACTCACTGGCCTTGTCGTGCTCTGAATCACTTGCGCTCTGTTCTCCAAGCTGACGTTTAGGTGCAGAACAACACAGAGGTGGCCACACAGGGGTGGTGGCAGGTGATGTGCTGCTAGTGTCCGGCGTCTTCCTGAGGGCCCAACTCACCCCCACCCCCACCTCCACCCCCACCCGCTACCCCTCCACTGCAGAGGTTAGCTCCTCCCCTGGTGTTTCCAAACCAGAATCTGCAGCAGCTGCCCCTGTGGGGTCCTGGGTAAGCCTCCCCCACGCCCTGCGGCGGACGAGTGGCTTCTTTTAGGGAAATCCAAGGTTCTTTTTATTTGTGCTTTTTATTTATTTTTAATATTTTTATTTATATCAGAGAGGAAGGGAGAGGGAGAGAGAGAAACATCAGTGATGAGAGAGAATCATTGATCAGCTGCCTCCTGCACGCCCCCACTGGGGATCGAGCCCGAAACCCAGGCACGAGCCCTGACCAAGAATCGAACCCTGACCTCCTGGTTCATAGGTTGACACTCAACCACTGAGCCACGCCGGCCAGGGTATTTGTACTTTTTAACGGCATCAAAAAGTCATCCCACTCTTAGCCCTGAGTGAGGGGGCAACTCTTTCCCTCAGATTCGGTGGTTGTGGACCCGATAGGCAGTTTCTCGGGAGGTTGCTGGGTCCCCTGAGAGCTGGAGCCCAGATGGGGAAGGGTCGGCACTCAGCTTGCCAGCGAGAAGGGACGGCTGCTCCTCGCACCAGCCCGGCTGATGCAGCCGTGAATCAAGGGCACTTGGCGCAGGCGCCGAGCCTCCCGTTGGCCCCTTCCTAACACAGTCCTCCAGCGTCCTGTCGCCTTATCTATCTCCTGATGCGGGCGATGCAGGACAGAGAGGAGAAAGTCTTCCCACAGGAGATAGGATGTAGCAGCCGCCTCGACGGCCTGGCTCTCGCTGCTCTCTCTCCGTTTCTCCCACTTGTGGAGCAGAGCGCAGGCCCCAGCACCGCATATCCCGATTAGCTGGCGCCGATGACTGGGGGGTGTTTTCTGCTTCTCGGTGGAGACATTCGCTGGCTGACCATGTCTCTCCGTAGATTTGTCTTCCGCTCGGCTCTCTCAGTAACGTGCCCTTTGTCGTTTGCAGACCGCAGAATGGCTCCATGATCCTCTACAACAGGAAGAAGGTGAAGTACAGGAAAGACGGGTACTGCTGGAAGAAGAGGAAAGATGGGAAAACGACCCGCGAGGACCACATGAAGCTGAAGGTCCAGGGAGTGGAGGTAAAGAGCCAAGGGCCCTCCTGGGCCTCTACCGTCCTGGCCCCGGGGGCCGCGAGGCCAGGCACCTCTGTCGAAAGTACCTTTTGTTGGTTTCCTTTTCTCCTCCCTTCTTACCCTCTGGTCTCCGTTCACGTTTTACACAAAACTGGATTTAGCTAAAGCGCCTGCGTCCTGGAGCCATTGGTGTGCGGTTGGGAGTGGCGAGGGGTGCGGAGTGGGGTGTGGGGCTGAGGGCGGAGCTGCCTCTGGGTGCACTGAGCAATGCAGGGGCTGGGGGAGGAGCTACATCAGGAATCTCCCACGGGGTCGGGGTGGGGGGCGGGCGGAGTGCTTCACTCCCTCTACTGGCACTCCCTCTGCTTCCCTCTGGCTGTCTCGGGGAGCTCCCTGGTGTTACAGATAACTCGAGGGGCTAAGGTGCTCCGGGTTGTGGCAGGGCAGGGGGGCGGGGCTGGGGGGGTAAGCCCTGCAGAAAGCATCGGGGTCTCCTGCAAACTTCCTCTGGGTCCTGGCGAGATGGGGGCCGTCTGGCTTCCTTGCTGTTGTTCTTGTCCACACTTGCTCACCTGGGCAGCCGTGGGCACATCCCTGGCTCCTCTTGCCTGGGTGTGAGGGCCGAGCCAGGGTCACAGCGCCAGAGGAAAGGACATGGACCAGACGCACTGTGGCCACTCGGCAGTGAGCGCCACCTTTCTGTGCCTTGTGGGCCCTTGTGAAGGCTCTTCCCTGGGAGGTGGCAGGGCTGTCTCGGGCCAGGAGCTGGGGAGCTGGCTGTGACCCACCTGGTGTTCAGAGTGGTCAGGGAGAGGGCCCTGTGGGGTCCCTGGCATATGGGGTTGCTAGCATGTGGGGTCCGCTGGTATGTGAGGTCCGCCAGCGTGTGGGGCCCGCGAGGTGCCAGGATTGACCGGCAGGACTGTCGGCCCCGCAAGCTCAGCGGCCCCTCCATGCTGACGCTCTTGGAGACGCACGTGTCATTCCGCCTTTTCTGTATGAATCGTGTACTTTTGGGGATGTTAAAAGTAGCATCCGCTGGCTTTTATTAATTAGCCCACAGAGAGAGGGAACTTTGTTGTGTGTTTTTTTAAAACACCTGATAACAGTGCTTTATGGTGATGACAAAGAAAAGGTCTGAGATGAGAAATGCAGGTCTGGACCGGCTCAGGGACACGCCTGGCGATTGTACACACAGCTTAGCCTTTGCTGCCCTCGTCCCCCCCACCCCGCGAGCGATAGGGAGAGGAGAGGCTGGGGGTACCGGGTCCCAGGGAATTCGCACTGAAACCCGGGCAAACGGCCCCGTGCCGGAGGTCCCTGGTTGTTTCGCCCTCAGTGGCACTAACGCAGGCGCCCCTGGTGGCAGGCGACAAGGTGGGGTGTTCCCTGACACACGACAGCGAGAGGCTGAGGGACCAAAGCCCCACGTTCATTCTCTCCCCTCGGCTGGACGTTAGAATCCCGCTGATGGAAGCAGAATGGTGGTTTTTAGGCCGTAGTTACGTACGGAGTCATTGTGGCTCCCGCACCGGAGGTCTAACGTGTACATACGTGTGGCGTGTGGACCCTCAGGACACAGAGGAAGGACGCGCAGGGCCCCGAGGGGTTGCCCGGACTCTCGGTGCGGTGTGAGCGGGCGGGAGGACCAGCAGGGGAGCGTCCTTCCCCGGGGAATCGCACTGTGTGTGGGCTTGAGCTTTCTGTCTCCCGGGAGGAGGGGCTTCCCGGTTGGGACCCTGCTTTCTCCTGTGGGTTCAGTCAGGCGGTCCCATCGACTCAGCGCCCCTGTCCCGCCAGGCGCCGTGCCAGCCGCTACCCGACGGCTGGGAGGCAGCGGCCTGGGGGGCCTGGCGGCCGCGATTTTCCACCACCAGAGCTGGCCTCTTCGGTTCAAGGGCGCGATAAAGACGTCAGGGTGAACCGTTCATCGCAGCCCGTGCTGTAAGCCTCCCCGCAGCCAGGCGGGCGGGCCCTGCCCCGCGCTGCCCGGCAGTCAGCTCCTTGTGTGCTCGGAGGCTGCCAGGTTCTCCCAGCTCCGCTCAGAGGCACATCGATTTCCCGGGCCGGCCCAGGAGGGGCCGCCTCTGAAGCCGACATGCTGTTAGGTCCGTGATGAGTTGTCTTGTCTGTGAGCCAAGGAGAAGCGGGCTCGATAAGGTTCCGGGATGACAAAGGTTGGCAGGAGGAGAAAGGTGGGTGTGCTGGCGCCGTCTCCTGAGATGAAATCGCAGTGCACCTGAAGGCGGTCCTGCCCACACGTGGATCTATGCTGCCTGTCAGGGGGAGGGGCGGGGGGGGGTCCCCAGGGAGCAGAGGGCGCCTCTAGGTGTCCTCTGCCTCCTGGTGGCTGCTTCTGGTTCGAGGAGCGGAGGTGCTGCTCCTGGGCCGAGTGGGAAGAGGACGTTTCAAGCTCATGGTGCTTTTCTCTGCTACAGAGCGGAGCCACGCGCTTAGATCAGTGACAGCCGCAGGCTAACGGTTCTCCCAGGTGCACCATCTCCTTCAACCCTCCGGCAGCCCTAGCTGCTCTGGCTCAGTGGATAGAGCATCGGCCTGAGGACCGAAGGGTCCCGGGTTCGATTCATGATCAAGGGCGTGCACCTGGGTTGTAAGGCTCAATCCCAGACACCCCAGCCACAGTCCAGGTGCATGTGGGAGGCAACCAATGGATGTGCCTCTCTCACATTGATGTTTCTCTCTCTCCCTCCCTCCCTCCCTCCCTTCCACTCTCTCTAAAATTCAATGGAAAAATATCGTGAGTGAGGATTAACAAAAAACAAACAAAAATGTTTTTTGTTAAGCGCTTGTTATACCCATTTCACAGAGGAAGAGACTGAGCCTCAGAGAGGGTTTCTCTTGCCCCACATCCCATCACAAACCTGCATGGCGCTGGGACTGAGCCGGGGCGCCTGGCACTCAGGTGCGAACGCTGGCCAGACATCAGCTGCCCCGGGCCTCACTCAGGCGGGACTGTGGTCCTTCCAGACCCGTCAGCACCTGCCCTCATTCGTGAGCAGCTGTCCACAGGTGTGGTGGGTGCTGAGGACGCAGTGACGTCCCCAACCCTCAGATCGCATGGGGGACAAAATGCTCAGCATGCAGCTCTGACGCAGGTGATGAGGCCTGTGAGGGAGAAGCACAGGCCCCGAGCGGGGCACTAGGAGGGGTCCCCGGGCCAATGTGGCCTTAGGAAGTGGCATAAACATAGGGAACAAGGAGTGTTCGGGGTCGGGCAGCAACGGGCTGGATGGGAAGTGGCGTGGGCACTGACTAAGGCTGTGGTACAGTCACTGACGTGATTTAAAGCGGCAGGTGCCTGCCTGGCGCGGTTTCAGTCTCTCTCCAGCCCCATCAGACACGCATCTGCCTCCCGGGTCAGAGATGCTGCTGCTCCCACCACACAGCCAGCTCCGCCCACATCCCGCCTTTGGAGCCACGAGGTGGTCATTGTGGTTGAGCTGACAGCCTTCCCCACCGGGCGGCTCTGCGGTGGACGGAACCCCGGCCTGGCCATCTGTGGGCGGAAGTGCCGGCCACTCTCTCCGATTGGAGTTCTCAGCCGTGAAGAGTTGAGTTTTGCTGAGCCGACGCCTGTGAGCTCCGAGCCCACGGCGAGCGGCAAAAGTGAGGTTATGTGTTTGGAGTCAGCCTCATTAGGGCTGATGTTCTTTATTTGGACACTGAGGCCACACATTACAAAGGGAAAAAAGCAGCTCTTTTAAAAGTAGGAGTGATATTGCAGTTACGGCTTTAGGAATTAACAGGGCATGAAATAACTGGCTGCTCGTGGCGATGCCGGACCACTTCCCTCTGCTGGCAGCCACGAGATAAAGAGGCCTCATGCTTCAGCTGATGGGAGAGCATTTAAAGCATCCAGCCACACACACCCTCCACACGCACCCTCCACACGCACCAGCCACATGCACCTTCCACACAGCACCAGCCACACGCACCAGCCACACGCACTAGCCACGTGCACCCTCCACACACACCAGCCACACGCACCCTCCACACGCACTAGCCACATGCACCAGCCACATGCACCTTCCACACGGCACCAGCCACACGCACCAGCCACACGCACTAGCCACGTGCACCCTCCACACACACCAGCCACACGCACCCTCCACACGCACCAGCCACACGCACCCTCCACACGCACCAGCCACATGTACGCGTGGTGCCCACATCAAAGTGGGAAAGAGCAGTGAGCACATGAGGGAGAAAGGTGGCGGGTGGAAGAGCCGAGCCTGAGGCTCACGGGGGGCAGATGAGGCTGCAGGCCGCACGGTGCGCTTTGAAACAGAATACGTGGTTCTGCTTTTCCTAAGCCGCATGGACGCGTTCTTTCACGCCGCTCCCCTGCAGACTCGCCAGCCTGTGGTACGCACAGCGGTCCCTGCTCAGCGTCTGCATGGAGACGTGTGAGCCTGGTCACTCCGCACCTCCCAGGGCGTCTTCCCTGGTCTCCTCCAGCCAGAGTAACCTCCGGCTCCCCTTCCTCGCCCGTGAGCACCCCCACTCCATCTGCACCTTTATTTCTTTTTTTTAAAAAAATACGTTTTTGTTGATTTTTAGATCAGAGAGGAAGGGAGAGGAATAGAGAGATAGAAACATCGGTGAGAGAGAATTGATTCTGCACGTCCCACACTGGGGATCGAGCCCGCCATGTGCCCTGATCGGGAATTGAACTGTGACCTCCTGGTCGACCTCAGCCCCTGAGCCCCACCGGCCGGGCCCTCTGTACCTTCCTTAAGGAAGTGTCCTCCGCCACCCGGCTCAGCTCTGTCAGCCCGTGAGCGCACATTGAGGCCGGAGGCCTGGGCCGGGAGCCTAGCTGCCTGTCAGGTGCAGGACTGAGAGGCAAGTGAAGTACAGCGTCGAGCTCGAAAACGGACAGAAACATAAGCTGGTGTTTCAGTGGACGCTGTCGCCACACGCGACACAGGCTTTGAGTTCAGAATAAGCGTGTTTCCCCGAGGACAGGCCTGGGCAGGTCGCCA